CTGGACAGTCTCAAGTTCGTCTGCCAAATACTTTGGGATGGAATGATGGAAGGCTTGCGCACAATACTCGAGCACAGGCCTGATCACTGTACAATAAAAGTTCAAGACATCATTGACATTTACGCTTGCCCGTTTCAATAGTACTATAAAATAGAGGCGTTTATTAGCTTTCTTTATACTCTCTCTGATGTTATCTTTCCACTGAAGTGTGCCTGTCATAACAAGACCCAATATTTTTGCACTCTCAACTATAGGCAAGGCTTCTCCACCCACCAGTACAGGATCAAAATGTTGTTTAATTCTTTTAAAATCGATTCTCAGTTCTTTACATTTCTCAGTGTTAAGAGATAGCCCATTTGCCTTCGACCAATCTTCCACAACATCAACTGCGACTTGAACACGGCTCTCTGTGTCCTTACTAACTACTTCAGCAACTGTTGTGTCATCAACAAACTTCCACCTCGATATATCACAAATATCAAGATCGTTTATCATTAAACAAAATAGCCAGGGCCCTAATTTTGTACCTTGAGGGATACCGGAGAGTACATCACCCCACTCCGAATAACAGTCATTGGATAATTTCACTCTCTGCTTTCGATTCATCAAAAAATCGATTGTCCAGCGAGCAACCGCACGTGGAATAGCTAAATTGGAAATTTTATCAGCCAGTAAAGCATGATCGATAAGGTCGAATGCTTTTCTATAATCGAACAGGATGACTCTGACAGCAGAGCCACTGCCATCAGTAGCTTGCGACCATTCATGGATCATAGATATAACAGCGAGAGTAGTTGAACTTCTTGGTATTACTCCATATTGACTTGGATCGATTATACTCATGATAGCTGGAGCAATGTATTTTTTAACAACACAGTCCTCGGCGATTTTCGAAATAGCGGCAGTAAGTGAAATTGGTCGTAACTGCTTACAAATGTCGCTAACGGGCTTAGTTTTTATGAGCGGCACAATGTTGGCAAGCTTCCAAGATTTAGGTAGTTGTTGTTCGGCATAGCTGCTGTTTAGCACAGCGCATACTGGCTGTGCAAGGATTTCAGCATATTCCTTAAGAGCCCAATTGGGAATTTCGTCAGGACCTGACGCCTTTCCACGATTAATTGCTTTCAATAAATGAAAGACTTCCAATTTGTTCACTTGAAAAGAGGAATAATTATCAAAGGGGGGAAGGGTTGACAGTGGATTGAAGGAGTTCATGGGCTCCAAAAAGGCGTTATTAATTAAATTCGCAATGTCAGGACGTTGCATATTCTCGATATCGTCTAAATGAAGTTGATTACATAGGTCATCGGAGCCGGTTGTAGGTACCATACCAGCAATCTGCTTCACCTCCTTCCACCATCTCTTCGGTTTGGTCGATTTAAGATTCTTTACTTTTGAAGAGTAGAATTTCGCCCGGCATGTCTTTCGCTCGCGGTTAACCCGATTTCGGTAATACTTGAACTGAAAGGTATTTCCACTGCAGAAGGCAGCTTGACGCTTCCTTATAAGCTCTTTAAATTCTGCAGTAATCCATGGAGGATCGTGTACATGCAAAGCCGTTTTCTTTATTGGCATAATGGTGCTAATACCGAGACGTACTAACTCTTCGAAATACTGGAGTTTCATTTCGCATGTGTCAAAATGATTCAGAGAGGACCAATCGATAGATGTAAGGTATCTTCCAAGCTCATGCCTTTTACTAGATCGTAAATCTCTACTAGAGATAATTCTTCTACTGCATGACTTGGGTTCTCTTTTGCAAGGATTGACAATCACAACATTATGATCTGAAAGACCAAATGGCGGAAATTTTTCGACAGAGTTCTTATCATAAAACGAATGTAAGTTGGTTATTATTAGATCCAAAGTCTGGTTGGCCCTTGTGGAAACGTTAACAATCTGTTTGCAACTGAACTGTGTTAATATCCGATTGCATTTTAACCGATTAAAGTCGCCTGCAAGAATAAACCCACAGCCAGGATAGGTGCTTTCAATAGTAATCAGTGATGTGGAGAGAAATTGGAGCATTTTATCATCATTAGCATTAGGTGGATGGTAAACGACACCAAGTATCAAGCAGGAAAACCCGCGGGGAAGTCTACTTGGACGAACATAGACCCACAGAACTTCGTAATCTATATGGTGGAGATGATTCAGAGGCTTATAAAATATCGTGTTCCTGATGTACACCCCAACCCCTCCGTGGGAGCCCACACTGCGGTTTTTATGAACAAAATTGTAACCTGGAATATCGAGGCAGGAATCTGAGATACGGTCATTTAGCCATGTTTCCGTTATACAGGCAAGGTCAGGACTCTTTTCTGTGACAAAACAACTCACTTCATCAATTTTGGGAGCTAATGACATCGTATTTGTCAATAATAGTTTCGGAACGTAGAAATAGTCATTAGCATTGGAAATAACAGTTTTATTAATGTTAATTTGAATAATATTGTTTAAATTACGTTGTCCGCGATGAATTGAAGTAGGGCGACCTGATAGGGAAAAATCATGTTCTAGTAATAATACTGGAAAAACCTCATATTGGCTTTCCATTTGTCCTTGCGAAAACCCTGCTCAGTCTGGTTGATTCTAGCGCCATGTTTATTTCGTCGCCACGTCGATTTCTTTGATGGTGTTCTATGGGTAACGCGAGTCGGGATGGCATAACAGTTAGTTATGTCCGAAATTTCCGTATCTTTTGGGAATTGACTTACTTGACCAGCATGTTTTTGAGGCTCCTGCTTATCAACTTGTTTTGGGGGTATTCGAGGGTTAGGTGGTAATTCTTGAGATGTAATATATTTATTAGTACAGGTATTCTCTTGAGTCGGAGGCGCGTGATTTCTAATGCAATTAGTGCTGAGTGTCTCCAAAATAATGCAGGAATGATCATGACAAAGCCCATTGTCAGTTTCTTTACTCTTTTGTTCTAACTCGTGTAGGTTTAGTACCTGTTCGAGTTGTAAGATTTTTGTTTCGGCAACCGTTAGCTCAGATTCAAGTTGCTTGGTTTTATCTTGTTCATCATGCAGTTCCCTTTCAAGACGCTTTAATTGAGTATCATAACAAACATTGGAAAGGCACTCAGACCGCAAATTTGCCAGAGATTGTAATGCATCATTACGACTCATTACAATGTCATCATTTAGATTCGATCCTATTATGTTATTGTTTTCCTCATGACGTTTTTGCAATCCGGAGGCGTTTTGATTGTCCAAATTTGAATATTCGACAGCTTTAGGCGAATATTGAATCGTATGTTGGTTTTTCAACAACTGAAACTCTGCCCTAAATACATCAAACTGTTGGTTAATAATGTTTAATTTACCAACTACTTTATCAAGGCAATCTTCCACGTTTTTAATGCTATGTTTATTATCACGAATATCTTTCTCAGTAATTGTTACATCGAGTTTAACGCCCTCCAATTCAACAAGCATTTCATTGCTTGTGGAAGGGAATCCGCAATAGTTGTCGCTTTTGCTTGACTGTACAGGATCGAAATCATTACATAACATTGTACACAACTTAGCTGTTATGAGGTTCCTGTCTCTGCCTTCTATTTCCAACACTTTCTTGGATTTGCGCCAGGATATTGAGCTATAACCATCACTGTATTTTTTTTTATCATTGCCTGGTGAAGTCCATACGCCGACAAAATCAACATTCTTGCTTACAAAAAGCTTCAATTTCTCCAAATCACCCGTCCAGCAAAGCCGTAGTTCTTGCATTTCGATTACAATACTTGCCACAGAGTATTCCAGCAAATAACTCAAAAAAATTTAAGAATAATGTGGAGCGATATATTACACGTCTGATCGATCGATCGGATTTTTGCCTTGTGTTGACCTCCCCACGATTTTCTTCGATTTTCGCCTTCATATTTCCTTTTTCGTCCTGCATTTTCACGATGACCTCCTCGCACAGCTCCCTGCAAGGACGCCATCTTGAATAGTGAAATATGATAGTGAAATAGTTTGAAAACGTTGGCCCAACGATATCAAATTTCACTATGCGCAGAAAAGTTGCGCAAACGGTGACACTGCTCCTTTAAGACACATGGCCCACATGGCTCAAGTTAACAATCATATTCACCACATTATTTTGCAATTAAAGTGCTTAAATAATAAGTCAAATACAAAAGTATTCTTACCTGTGACATCTGAATAACATGTTAAGAACTTTCCGATTCCTTTTCCACTGTTTGGGTTAAAAATAACAACGAAATATTCCAAGCACAAAATTATATTAACACCAAATACTTTTTATCACAAATAAAACGATGCTATCCCATGAAGCTTTGCGCTCTGAAACGTAAACTAGTGACCAGGGCGTCCAGTTGAAGCGCGAACTATTGGCCGTACCTTATATTCTTATTAGGGATAAAATTCCAATAGGAATGCTTGCATTAGGGACCATCAGGAATTATAGAAATCCTAGCTAGCTAAACACATTGATACTAAAAACATAACCACCGAGTATTTTAGCAAAATACAAAACAAGTTTAACTCCAAAGATCGATGACAATATATATCGATGTAGATCGATATCAATCTTTGGAGTTACACTTGTTTTGTATTTTGCTATAAAAAACAGAGTAAAAACATATAATAGCAGCAATAGGATTCTATATTCTATATAACCTCCTAACCGAATATCCTATACGAATTCCTATAGGAATTCCTATAGGAAATTTCCTATAGGAAATTCCTATAGGAAATTTCTATAGGAATTCCTATAGGAAATTCCTATAGGAATTCAGTTCCTATAGGAAATTCCTATAGGAAATCTATTCCTATAGGATCCTATAGGAATTCCTATAGGAAATTCCTATAGGAAATCTATTCCTATAGGATCCTATAGGAATTCCTATAGGAAATTCCTATAGGAAATCTATTCCTATAGGATCCTATAGGAATTCCTATAGGAATTCTATTCCTATAGGATCCTATAGGATTTTTTCGTAAGGGAGTGATGGACTGGCACTTTGCAAGAACATGAAAAGTGCTTTAGATGATTTCAATATAGCAGCCTGCCAAATTGAAAGTGCAGTTTTTGATGGCGTGTACTTTCATTGCAGTGTTCAAAAGCATTTCAATGCATTGTATGGACTGAAAGATGGTGACATCTTGTACAGCTATGATACTTTGCACAAAAGTGGACTTGTTGACACACATATGTGCAAAAAGAAAGAATTTGCATGGGTTGCTGAAATCACCCAGATTTGTCAGCAGGTAATTCAATGATTCATTTATCATTATTCCTAGTCTCCTAGCCCTCATAGTCATAAAATTACATATAATATAATATAATATCATATCATGTCAATGATGTCAAATGACTCAAATCATGTCATGTCAATGATATCATATCACATATGATATCATATCATCATATTTCATATATCATAATAATCATATAATAATTGAATAATATGTACTGTACGGTACCTGCAATCAAAAACTAGCCTGGCCCACCTTGTATTTAATGTATTATTTTAGTCAATTATGAATTATGTCATAATATCAACTTGGCCAATAATCAATAAATGCTTTACCATGTTAGTTCTAATTATTTAAGCTTTGTCAATTTATTGGAATAGCATAATTAGAACAAACTCTATATTTACTAAGTCTACTTATTATGTCTAATTTGTTACAGGTGTTCCATTTGTTCAACTGGGGGCCCAATTACGAAAAACTGGTTAAAGCCACAGTGTTATGGAAGCTCCATCTAAGAAGCTTGGTGGGCTTTTCGGAGACAAGATTTGCCAATAGCAGACGACAAGTCTACATAAATATACATCATGAATTCCCTGCTATTATTAGTTGCTTAGAGGAACAAATTCTTGATGGTGTGAAGAGGAATTCAGATGCCAGAGCAAGAGAAAGGGTACACAAAGCTAAAGAGATAAAGGGGAAAATACTAAATGTGTATTTTCTTTTCTTATTGTCTGGCCTAGCAGACCTGTATGGCCAGTTTGGTGTTGTTGTAAACATAGCCCAGATGGTCCACTTGCTACCGCATGAAAGGTACAAGCTTTTTGTGGAAGCTGTAGATCTTTTGGAAAAAATGAAGGAATGCCTCAATGATCATACCAAATGTGACTCGCTAGCACCAAAAGGCAAGAAGGAAAGATGTCTGTGGCCTTTGAATCATGGAGATAAAACAAGTTTTAAGAAAAAGAATGAAATAAGAGACATCCCCATCATTTTGCAACATGGAATTCAGGCAGCGGGTCTGCAGATCGAAACAAGAAGACAAAGAATTGACATGGCTGCTATGGACAATGATGCAGACAAGATTTCTGACAATAAGTTATTATCCTTGTTGGAAGAAATACACACTGGCCTTAAATGAGAAGTGTATGACCAGGAATCAATAACTGTCATCAATGCAACAAAACATGTTCTTGACTTGCCTGCATTTAGTATTAAGCTACATCAACCAGATGGACGTAATATCAAGGTAGCTGCAACAAACTTCCCTTTATTCATTGAAGCAGTCACAGAGGCCCCTATTAGATCCCTGCAGGCAGTACCAGTAGATCATCTAAAAGAAGAATATGCAGAATTTCTCGTAGGCTGCAGACATTGACAGCTACATATAAGTTGGAAACCCTGAAAACAACTGATCCTAAAGATCTTATAAAGAAATTTTTTAACCCTGAAGACAGGTTGTTTGTTGGCATTGAGATGATAATTGTAGCCATTGCTGTTTGCTGCGTGAAACAGTCTTGTGAATCAATTTTAGAATCACTGGTTTCCATATATGAAAATCATTTTGATAGCAATAGAAATATGGAAGAGGACAGTGTCAATGAAGAATTTTTCATTGCAGCCAATGGACCAAACCTAGCACATTGTAGCAGTGTTACTGAGTACGCAATGAACAGATATTGCAAGGGAAGAAGTCGAATAGCTGGCATTTTTACAGAACATGTCTTAGAGACCATCTGAAGGACTTCGATGAAGGGTCAAAAGTGCTACACAGGCTTTTCAATGAGAGAAGCAAATTCCAAAGTATGGAGTAACTCAATAACTTGTAATTAAGTTTCGCTAAATAAAAACAACAACGTCAACAAATAATGTGAGCCTTTAATTAATTTAAATATACAGGATTTGTGAAATCTGCTGTGTTGGTGTAATGTACTCAGGTGAATAAGATGTTTGTGTGATGTTACTCTGAGTGTATATCCACACCGGGCAGGCTTGAAAAATATGCCTGGCCACGGCGGGATTCGAACCTACGACCTTTTGAATACTAGCCCAATGCTCTTCCAACTGAGCTACGCGGTCAGGACGGTTCGAGTAAGCGATATTTCGGAACTGAGTCTAGTTCCTTCGATATCAGTGTAATCTAATATTTATGAAATCTGCTGTGTTGGTGTAATGTACTAAGGTGAATAAGATGTTTGTGTGATGTTACTCTGAGTGTATATCCACACCGGGCAGGCTTGAAAAATATGCCCGGCCACGGCGGGATTCGAACCTACGACCTTTGGAATACTAGCCCAATGCTCTTCCAACTGAGCCACGCGGCCAGGACGGTTAGAGCAAGCGATATTTCGGAACTGAGTCTAGTTTCTTCGATATCAGTGTAATCTAATATTTATGAAATCTGCTGTGTTGGTGTAATGTACTCAGGTGAATAAGATGTTTGTGTGATGTTACTCTGAGTGTATATCCACACCGGGCAGGCTTGAAAAATATGCCTGGCCACGGCGGGATTCGAACCCACAACCTTTGGAATACTAGCCCATAAATATTAGATTACACTGATATCGAAGGAACTAGACTCAGTTCCGAAATATCGCTTACTCGAACCGTCCTGACCGCATAGCTCAGTTGGAAGAGCATTGGGCTAGTATTCCAAAGGTTGTAGGTTCGAATCCCGCCGTGGCCAGGCATATTTTTCAAGCCTGCCCGGTGTGGATATACACTCAGAGTAACATCACACAAACATACAGGATTTGTGTCGACAACTCGCAGAAAATTTTCCCACTTGTCGTTGCGGTCCCAGAAAATAATTTTTTTTTTCCACCCCTGTCTCTGAGTTAGATTTTATTCTGTACCTGTAGACTTCACGTTCATCAATCCTGACTAAATTCGCCTTCGGTGTAGTGGCATGGACAAAAAATGTAGCTCTGTATAAATTTCCAAGGTAGAACGATTTTTGGATCAAAACGATTCCAATCTCTCAAACTTCATAAGCTTGATTAATTTATCTTTCTCGTTTTCCAGACTGTTTTCTTTTACCTTTAGTAAAAATATATATGTATAATATTAATATGAGCTAGGGTGTTTTGTTTCACAAAATGCTAAAGAGTGCTCGATATCATATAGATATATGTATATTATTACTGTATATAAAGGAGACATGCAGTACCTCACCATTTTCTGTGACATCAATACAGAGTAGCCATTTAGACAGTATTTCTACATAATGTGGTGTACACAATATCAGGGGTGGATCAATACTCATCTGACAGGAGGGGTGCAGATTTCCCTTGGGGGTGCATTGGTGCACTACCAAAGGGACTGACAGAGCTGTTGTTTATTTTTAGGGATATCACCATAACCCCTGTTTTGTGAGCCCTCCCATGTGATCAATTGATCAATTTAAGTCCCTGAGCTGGGTGAGACATAAAATGCTGGGATGAGACATAAAATGCTCAAATGCCCTGCTAGTACTTTAGTCACTTGCTAAATTAGTGCACACAGTATATTTACAAAGTATTATTATTCATTATTTAATAATTATTAATGAATAGTAGTATAAAGTTAAAATATAGTTGTATAGCTTTTCAGTACTCAGTAGCTTCCTAATTAGAATGTTTCAAATTCGTGAAAATTGTATAGTAACAAATTAACAAAGTTTTTAATAAAAAAAATGAATTGTTTTTTTTCTTTCAAGTTCTCAATTTAGTAATAAGTCCTTATACATTTTATATAGTTAGGCAGTTAATGACTTAGACCTTAGCCCACCTATTGCGCATGTTTCCCCATGCTGTTACGACTTCATCCAAATCCAGAAAAATAATCAACAACATCTCTGTTTAACGAAATACATGCATAAAAGATCACTTAATCTTTCTGGAGGAAGGGTGGAACGCAGCTTCGTGCAGATACGATTCTGCCGGAAAATGCTCTTTCCACTGAAGCAGTTGATATCGAGATGGTACTCTTAACTGCAATTAAAGTGGTCAAGTTTGGAAGCCTCATTGGATTTATTGGTAGAACAGGACGTTAATCAATTTCAGCTCTTTCAAATTTCTAGTTCGAGGATAGATCTGTGAATGTTGAGACAGCTGAAGGTATTCAGTAGCACATCTGGCTCACTTAAGTCCAAGTAGGTATCGGAACCTGCATTAAGAGCATTGATAGCTCTAAGACTAAGGATGTCAATGTTCTTCGGCCTATTTTATATATACGTTGAATTTTGGTTGCGTCGAATGCAATGCAAACAATAGAGAATGAGATGATAAACCTCATTAAGCTTCATTATCTATTCACTATTGGTTTGAATTGCATTCGACGCGACCGAAATTTGACGTATAAAACAGGCCTTAGAGTCAAATCTGACATTAAACTCTTTCTCCAATAAGTAACTGTTGTAGCTCTAGTGTTGTGGATAGGCATTGTGTCACAGAGAGCTAAGGGGTCTCCAGTCTTTCTTGAAATTTCTTTCGGCTCAATGAATATGGCCTCATCTTTGATGTTGTTAATTGAATTCCGAGTTCTAGTCAGCTCGTATTGAACGTCCATCCAATCAATTTCTAATTGGCCTGAAGTTCTTTATTAAGGAAGTATAGCTTGCGGAGATACTTATGAAGTGTTGTCAGCTGACTGTGAATTTCCCTGACATCAGTTTGTGGTACAGTCCAGCTGCTGTTTCAAGTCAGAGGCTATTACAATTGCATCAATTCCTCTTGGAAGTCTTTTGGGTTTTATCAAAAACCACTGTGATTCAATGTTGGGAACTGATAGGATAGACAAGTGGTTGGAATTGTGACTAACGTGCAAGTAGTTGGACGATGTTTAATGCAATTCCAGCGAGGTTGATATTCAGAGTTGAGTATTTGACAGTTTTGAATATTTAATGAGTCAGAAACAAGGTTATGAAAAATTGACGTGAGTGGTATTATGTTAGTGTTCAAAGTCATAGACTTGTCATATCCATGACTTGCAGTTCTTAAGTCACAATATAGCATACAAGGTTCAAGTGATTGAGCCAATCTTGTGTTCAATGATTCTTGATGTATTCCCGGTGATTCTGTATTACCAACCTGCTTCGACTCTTCCTCTACTGTTTCCAAAAAAAAGGACGGCTTTCAGTGCTAATCTTTGATTGCACTGTTTCGACAAAGGCCAAACTGCCTATCCATTCAGCAATCTTGGTACTCTGTGGCACACAGTGTTCAGTTTTGCTATGGTATTAATGTATCCCTTGTTAGATTTAGATGTTTTGGTGAACCATCATTTCAGGGTTTGATTTTGGAAATGGAGATTGGTTTACAGGAACAATTCTGTGGTCACTTGAACATTCAGCACAGAAGGAACGAGATATTAACAAGGGAATATCCACTATGGCTGGGAAGGGGCGTGGGACTACCTTGTACTGGTGAAGTATGGGGCCCCCATTGAACTATAAATAAACTGGAAGGCTAACTCCTATGATGAAGGCCTATGATTTGTTGAAGCCTGCACATGGGAAAATCAGCTTTCAAAGGAGAATTTCGAGGAGTGAGAAAAATTCGGTCAAAAGTTTGTTTTCGAGCAAAAATGTGCAAGAAAAACACTTTTTTCATGGGAATACAACGATGATTAGGATTCAAACCAGGTTTTCTGATTTCTTCCAACTGTTTTACATCTCCCTGCAGCAGAAAGTAAGGAGTTTTGATTTTGTATTATGAAAAAATGACGAACGTTTGGACGTGCCGAAGGAAACCTCTCTCTTGAACTAAAAAAAAATACTATAAAACATTTTGACAGTCCCAAAAATTATGCTATACTAAACCCCAGGTATTGCTATTGATCCTGAGCTTTTAGTCCTTTCTAAAACATAAATAAATTGGTGTTTTTGAAGTACTGTTTAATAAATGAGCAGGAGTGTTTATTAGGTTTAAAGTTGTGCGCTCGTGGCTTTAGACCTAATAAAACACAACCTGCTTGTTTATTAAACGGCTTCAAACACGACTACAAATTCAATAGATATACCGCCTTGTTAGTATTCTTTATATAAAAAATACTAATGAGGACACAACAACAATAGATACTGCCTTATTAGTATTCTTTATATAAAGAATACTAATTAGGAGTGTTTTATCAGGTTTAAAGCCACTGCACGTGACATATTAT